GTCAAAGATATGCTAGATACTTTATCTAGTATCTCATGTAAAATTCTTTATCTTCAGATGCTAGGGTCTCCCACTTAAAAGATTCAGATTTTGCCACTTTTAATAATGGATTTTGGTTTTTGATCATCTTGTGTCCTTCCTTTTCTTACTCCAGTACTTCACACTGCTGCAATCTAATCTTGAAGCAAAACAAAAACTCTGATCCTTGGAAACCTATTAAAGAGTAGCTGTCATCATAACGATCACATAAGTAAAATATAAATATTCAGCTATAGAATTCTTACAAACTTGTAAAATCTAGTACATAATTTATACAATACTTGCCTCTGGAGTTCTCAGTGCTTTCACAGCATTGAGATCGGATCCTGAGGAGAAAGTATTATTTGCCCCACGGATAATGACACCTTTTCCCTCTGTCCAATTTTCCAATTCAATCACTTTTTCCAAGAGTTGTAGCATCATAACACCTGCCAGAGAGGGGAGGGGGAAATCACAAACACATGAGATACTAGTAAAATAGAAGTAAATTAGAAACTATAAGGTGTCAAACAGAACTCTTATATCATATATTTTACAAATATTTACTGAATGTCTATCAAATGACTACTGTTGGTACTATGGAGTATATACAAAAGAGGTACATGTGACAGTCCCAGATTTAAAAGTTTATAATTTGTTAGAGATCTCTGTCTCTATCTTAATTAAGAAATCACACAAATATATGGTTAGGTAGAAAAATGAGAATATATCATACATATCCTAGAAATAAGAAAACTGTAATGATAACATAGGACATGGTAGTAAGAAAAAATTATTCCTTAAGGTACAAATGAAATATAGCCCTGAGTTCACAACAGTACATATTAAGTATACATAGTTAACAAGTTCAATAAGAGTTATAAAGTCAAAAGTTTATAACAAGTTATGCCTGTATTTCTCATTCAAATACAGTATTGCCTAACAGAAGAGTATGAGATCTTATGGTATATTGGACATATGGTATTTAAAACAAAGGTGATATTCCTACCATACTCACATCAGAACTACTTACTGTAAGAGGATGTTAGTTCAGGAAAGGTATAGTAAATATATTTTTCTATGGTTAACAAACTGCCCTAAGAAGCCCAAGGCATACCATGGAGGTGCTTCACAGGCTGAAAATAAGATGCACACCAACCATCAATTCTATGATTTACAGATCAGACTGTTATCTTGGTATCATTTCAAAAGCTTATTGTAGATTCTTTATAATGATAACAGCAAGGACTATCATTCTTTTAGATATGCTTACCTGTAGTAATTGTCCAAGTCTGTAAAGCTCTCAACATGATTAAACTTACTTTCCTCTGCTTAAGAAAATACTTTCAAAGCCAATATAAAGATCATAACAGAGGGTTATAACTGGCAAAGAATCTGTATCACAAGGTTCTAGAACTTAAGGCATTATTAAACTATGTACACTTCTTTGGAATATAAACCTCTATATTGTCAAAAACTGTTATTTTCTTCACTATTTTCTGAAGTAGCCAGTAGTGAAGCAGTTCCAAAATAAAAGTTAGTGTTCCTGATTCACAAATGACTAATGCAGCTATCTTCTAATTGCTAATTATCACCTAGTTAAAACAGCAAACTTGCCTAAGAAGATACTAGATGTTTAGTGCTTACTCTCCAAAGATTTACAGTCTAACAGTTTTTTACAAAAAAACACATATTTAGGGTAAGACTCAATCT